ATAAAAAGAACCAATTATTAACAAGGACTCAATTATTGCTCATTATATGTATTATTGTTTAAGTTTCTGTTTTCTTTATAAATCGATTTAAAACCGTCTTAAATATTTAATTGGATGTTGGTAATTACTTACGTGGAATAATTAAAGTTGACGCTTCTATGGATTAATGAATTCTCAGTTAATCTTCATCTGTTATGAACAATTTTCACTACTGTTTAATTTTAAAACGACGCACAAAATGGTGAATTTATAAATTTGTATGTATATATATAGTATGTATACCAGAATTATACCGTGAAGTAGTGTTAATTCGGTAACCGGCTAAGCTCGGAGCTTTCGGCGTTAGAGCTTTCGGAAAACTGAGCTTTCTCGCCGTGGTTGGGGTTGAATCAGTCGCTATAGACAGGCGCATTGGACAGCACTGTTTTTAGCCGGAATTAAAATTTATCGCGAAGAGAAACACAAAATTGATGCCCTGCGTATGCAACTGGGCTGTGGGGGATAAATTCATGGAGAATTATTACTACTGCACGTACGTGTTTCCAGTAGGCCGTTCTGTCTACCTTTGATACGTATTATATACCTATATATCTACCATTTGTCCGAAAAGATCCGTGAAATAAAAATGAGATGCATTCAAACACTTCTGTCTAATTGAAAAAGAGTGTTACAAAACTTACACCTCGGTTACCACGAATTACTTATAACACGAAAAAGCTCTAAAGTAATTCTAGGTAAAACGCAACGCCGATGGTACCTTTGTCGGTTACGAGTAGCACTTAACCCATCAAATGTTCCAATAATTTTATAATGTATACTTTAAAGTACGAGCATATGCAACCAACTATTCATCCCGATAGAGACATTTAACCTGCCCAACTTTTTTCAATTGTTTATTTCAAACTAGATGCCTATGTCATCATCATAGGGTCGTCAGTCCTAAGACCAATTAGAACAAATCTTCGCATTTTTCCAAAACATCCCACATCCTGTTTCCGCCTCTGATATGTCTCTGACCAGACCTTCATGCGTGAAAAAGTGTCCTACCAACATATCTCACCTGTTTCTTATTGACTTCCATAGAGTCCTCTGTTCTCCTATTCTTTCTAATACCTCTTCATTTCTAACATTCTCTTTCCACGGTAGTGACTTCTTTTTATTGAACGCGACTAAATCCTGCGCTATGCTTTGCTTATATCCCTACTACTCCTTCCGCCCTGACTTATCTGACTTCCTAGATACCTAAAATCAGCCACTTCTTCTAATTTTTCGTCTCCTATCTTTATATTCGCTCTTTCTCTACTTTTTCTTCCCTTGCATACCAGTATTTTTGTTTAACTGTTATTTATTTTCAGACAATACTGTTTTATCAATGACTCTTTCATTCTATTTAAACATATCTCTAACTCCTTCTTGCGAGATGGTAATACTGCTATATCATCTGAAAATCTACGCATACTGATCTCTTGCCCTTTATACCTATCCCTACAGCTGTACTGTCTTTAATGATGTTAATTGCATCTTCGATATATAGATTAAAAAGTGACAGTGACAGTGTGCATCCCTGTCTGACTCCCTTCCTAATATTTACTTCCCTATGTTGCAGCTCCAGCCCTATAACTCCCTCTTGCTCTTTATACAAACTAAGTATCACTCTTCTATCTCTTTAACGCATCCCTACATTTTCCTGTAGAGTATTTTTTAAATAAGCATAAAGAAATAGAATCCTGTTTGTCTCAAAAATTTTATGTTTCAAAATTGAAATTACTCTCAAAATTTCTCAAAACAGTAAATCGCAAAAGGTTTAGCCTTTCCTCTAACGATGCCTAAATGTTAAATGAAATGCAATAAAGACATTCACAACAAATTATTAAAACTGGTAAAGTGAATGAAGACAGTAACAAAAACTTCAAACGTTCAAAAACTAACATTAATTCTGTAATTTTTTTGTGCATCAAACTGTGGCGACTATTTAATAACTAACTGATTTTGAGTTCTAAACTGCAAAATGCACTTCCAAATTTTCCATCGAAAACTGAAAGAAACTGACGTAATCAAAGTATTCAAACATTTTTATTTATGAATCGAGCATTCAAAAAAACCAATTACTTGCTCGGTTAAAAAAGATTAATAATGTGTAAAATACATTCATCTATTCATGTGTTCAACAATGTTTGAATTTACCCGTTTATTTGACGAGTTTTTTTAACGGAAAAGAGATTCAGTTTCTGATTTTAATTTACAAATTAATGTACAGTTACATTCAAAAACCCAGTCAGAATAATTGCGGTAGCGACATTTACGTTGTTAAAGTACATTTATCCAAAAATAAATTTGAAAACGACTAAATAAAATTGAGAAAACATTGCTGAATTGATCATGAATTCTATATCACTCTATATTTAATTTCAGGTAAACCTTCTAAGTGTGCTTTTATAGTAGTTACGAACTTTATATTCCCAGTTAACAGTTAACAAGAGTTTCCAAGGTAAAGGAACCAATATAAGTCCTTTGTGAGCCTGAGCCCGAATTGTGTACCATGTAATGTTTTACCTGGTAAAGTTTACGTAGTCGAAGGCAGGCATCTTTCCCAGCGCTTGGCTCTGTAGTAATTACGAAGTTTAAATTCAAAAATTTCAAAGGTTAATATTCGCCTAAATGAAACGTTTAAACAGTGAAGGGATTTTTCGGGCGGGTAGACGGGAATCAAATAAATATTTTTAGGTTTCCCAAACCTTAAAAGACATCTGTCGTGTTACAGACTTTTCTTAAGTCTAACTAATGTGTGAATTTTTCATATATAATGTAGGGTGTTGTTTGAAAGATCTATTAGCAAAGAGTTTAAAAATATCTTTTCAGAAAAAATAAGTGCCAACATTCCAGGGAAAACCCTATAAACATACCCGAACGCATGTCCCCTTCTAAGTACAGGCCTGACGCTGGAAGCTGGCGGAAATTTTAAAATGGCGTGGATGCGCGGTGGCAAAAGTGGGCAGTTTTAGGTACAAAGATTGCAGCCCTCATTCTTCAGTATTCCTATCAGGGGCGTAGATTAAATATTTAAAAATAAGGATCAGTGAGCAAGTAATAGACAGACAAACAGAAGAACTAATTGTTGATGTTGGTGACAGCGATACAGATTCCCATGATAAGAGTGAATGTGAAAACTAACTATAAAACAAAAGCAATAGGTTAATTTTTTCTTTTTGATAAGTCATGTTTTTACATTATTTTCTAGTACGCTACTGTCCTATCTGTATTAATACTATAATTTACGCCTACTGAAAGCTTATTTGTGTATCGGTTCCAAGTGACTTACCCAAATAGGTCATAAATGGGCAAGTACCTGCGCGACCGCTCGCCAGCTTCCTTCGTCAGACCTGTACTTTCAAAACTACTAGAACATAAATATGTTTTGACAAAATAAAGAAACTTACCGGAAATGTAGCAAAGTATTTGTCGAATCAACGCGTAGACAAGAGGATTTTGAAATCTATTAGATAATCCAGGCTATCATTTGGTCCCAATTATTGTCCCGAAATTTCGTAGATACTAAAATCACTCCCGAATCCGGCGTAAACTTTGTTCCGATTATCCCGAAATATCTCACTAATAACACTCCCGAATTCCGAAGCACTGTCCGATATAAGATTGATCCTACTTATTCCTTAATCACACGTAATCTTGGTCCCGATTCTCCTAAAAATTTGCACTATAAATTGTTCGGATCCTGGCGTAAATTTGGTCTCGTTTTTCCCAACGATTCGTTTTATACACTCCCGAATCTCGACGCAATATTGGTCCCGATAGTCCCGAAAAATATCCCCTAAGGGCACCTTTAAATCCCGACATAATACTCACGACTAATCGCCGACAGTTATTCGCACGTTGCCGTTTTATTTTAAGTCAGAAGAAAAACACAAAAGCGAATATAAAAATGTTCATCAGGATATGCATAATTAAATCATCAAGTTCACTGATAATTATCAGACTAATCAAAAACAGTTCACGCCCGTGCTAGTCAATAATTAATTATTTACGTGTCAATTTAAATACCGTCTTCAAATGATGAGTAATCCTTTCGCGAACGCGTTTAAAACTGTATCTAATAACATAGACGAGTTATAGCTACGATCTTGTTATTGGGAACTCATCGTTGCAATAAAAAACTGTAACGTGTGTATTGTATGGCGGGGACAAAGATAGCGTCACCTTGTTATGTTAGAGAAAGGAGATAAGTAATATTATTTCGTGGTGCAATAATAACAGATTTTATGCATTAAATGATTTACTTTCGTCCATGTAAATAAGTGTTTTTGTAGTTTTATATATAATAAGTACGATGCCGTACTAGAAAATGAATTATGTACAGATTCATTTGATTGATTTATGATATGATTAATAAAAATTACGAAAACAATTAGCGAAAACACCTTTACTTAAAAGTTTGGCTAATAAGCTATAAAATAAGTCCATGCAATACGTTAAGATCGAGCATTTTAAGACGTAAATTTGTATACAATTTTTCTGAAACAAAATATGAACTGTATCTATAAAAAAAATCCATCTCCAATTACTCTTTAAATTATAATTGCTGATGTGTACGAAGCATCAAAAAGAGAAACGAAGTTCTACCAGCAATACATTAGAATAAAAGAAAAATATTACTTTCTTCGTTATAATTTAATATAATAATACACATCATACAAATTCTATTGATATAAATTAGACAAAAACCCAAATGCATTTATTTATACAGATCAATAATATTACATAAACATATAATTTTATAATAGAGGTGTTAGAAAACGCCTGTACCAACCCAGATTGTCTTGTGCATAAAATCACAGCATTATTGCGTTGCAACTAACAAAGAAAATAAAATAAAATACATCAAAAACTATTAATACTAATTTGGCAGATATTTTAATCTATTTTATACTTACATACTTAGTATATGCTGTACAAATTTTACTGGCAAAGTTACTTTTGCTTTGCCCTATTGCACTATTAGTTGATAACTGGCAGATATAAAGAAATATAGAAATGTATTTGGTATGTAATAGCTCCACTTGATCGCTTCGATGACTACGTAAGTGTAAAATAATTATTTAAACGCTTGTATAACAATATAGAATTATTTAAAATATCAAATTAAATAGTCGCTTTCCGTTTTTGTACTCTTTCATGTATGAAGGTCGCCAAAGAGGACTTTTCAATGAGAATGTCCTTTTTTGACAATGTTAAATCACTTCCCACAATATAAAAAATAAAGAAGATATCAATTTTGTTGAATTAATAGAATTTTAAAATAATTTTCCGGTTTGCGTAATAATATAATTTAGGTCCTAGTTTGCTGGCTTTTGATGTAAAAAAATCCCCTTTTTACACCCACAAGGTTACTATTTAGTTGGTACCTATATAAAGCCAAAAATTTGTACCAGATTCATACAACACTTCACCATGAAATTGTTTGGTTGTTTGTTCCTTCTGTTTCTGGCAGTAGCCTGTGCATTGGTAAGAAATTTGTTTTTCAAATTTAATATTTTGTTGTCATAATTATTTAAACTTCCGAAATTAATATTTGTCAGGTACACAATGTACTCTGCATCCCGGATAACGGCGCGCCCCCGCCAGGACAAGAGCCAAAGGGCTTCCGTAACTCTTTGACGAAAAGCTTCGCTCATCCTCCACCACCCGGCGGTTTTCCACCATTTGGACCGCCACCACCATTCGGTCCACCACCACAAAATTCTAATTCTTCCTGTTAGTATACATACATAATTACTTAATTAAATAGTTTTCAATTGTTTAAACTAATAAGCAAAAATATTGATAATGATTTTTTTTCAGCTTCTTCTTCATCATCTTCATCTTCTTAAAATTATCTGATGATCTTGTTACACCGAAGCACCAACTTACAACTTAGAATCCAATAAAACTTTCAAAAATGCATACGTGTTGTTTGTTTTACATTTTTAGTACAATTTCTACCCCTAGATAATTACAATACGTAATTAGCTAATTAAATCCAAAGTGCTAATGGAATTTTAAAAAAAGAACTAAAATACATCGAAATCTACCTACTAATAAAGTTTATAAACTTTAAAATAATTCGAAGTGGTCAGTATTCTGTCGAAACTGTCAGACGCGGATCGCGATTTCGATCTTTTTGGATCTCATCAGCGCGTCGCAGGCAGCTCCGACAGAACACAGACCAACAACGCCATCTGTAGCACGATGCTACATTTTAGGATTACGTATTTTTCAACAAGGTTCACTTGTGTGGATATCTACTTGCTGAAAACGAATCCTGGCGTAGCCAACCTCAACGTGATAGGCACGTTAGCTTAATCGAATAAAATAATTCGAAGTGGTCAGTATTCTGTCGAAACTGTCAGACGCGGATCGCGATTTCGATCTTTTTGGATCTCATCAGCGCGTCGCAGGCAGCTCCGACAGAACACAGACCAACTTTTACCTGCTGTCTTAACAGTGCGTTTTAGAAAATACTACAAACGGCACAGTGAACACCATCTGTAGCACGATGCTACATTTTAGGATTACGTATTTTTTTTTTATAAACTTTAATATTTTTTTTGTAATGTTTTTTACAGCTTCGAAATCCTATTCGAAATTAATCTACTTCAAAAAGCAATATCTCTTTTATATATATTTATCCATGCCTCCAGGACAAATACCTTCAGCCAAAAAAAAAATGCTAATAAAGAAATGTGTTGAAGAATAATTTCTACGTTCGGTGAACATTTTGCCTTACCTGTATAGTATTTTTACAGACAATTTTTACTTTTTTTATGAGACAAACCTCCGCCGAGATTAGAACCCTCAACCTCTCCGGTCTAACACTAAGCCACCTTGTTCTAATCAAATTGAATGATGCTGATGTTGATGTGTTAAGACAAAAGGAGTTGCAAACTTCTCATCATGATTAGTGTGACATAAGTGATGGAGGAATTTAAACGTTGAATTCCATTCGTTCGGCGATTAGCATTACCCGAAACATAACAGGATTCTCCATGGTGTACGGAGTATTTAACATATTTGAACGACAATTACATACAACGAGACAATCTATCGGTTTGTCGGTGAGTTTTCTATGATACCGCAACGCAATTATTGGCGGTACCGCAACCGAACTAGGCAAAGCAAGCGCAACAATTAATTGCCATAATACCTCATTGTACTCTAATAAACAACAGCTAATTGCTCTCATTATCTCTGTTAAAGTTATCCCGATGCCTGCCAGCGAAACTTTCCTATTAACGAGGGAAAACAGTTTGCACCCTGCTGCATCCTATCTACCGTTGGCATGGCATTCTTTTTTTTAACATCTACATATCGATACAGGAGCGAACAAACAATCCGAAAACACTGCAACACCGTATTCTTAATAAAATTTTAAGAAACATTCTCCTTTTCAGTTTTATGGTATTGTCCGTTCAGTTAGAGAAGAGTACAGCATGAGCACAAACAAATATCGATCGTAGAGGTGTCACCGGAATATAGTCAATTGTTTATCGTCAGATGTTTCCGGTCAAAGCCCAACCGTAAACATCTGGCGCCGTAAATAACTTCTAAGGCAATCCACGCCCATCGACCTGTCATCGTGTACTTTTCCCTAAGTGAACTAACTGTACAAGGAACACTAACCGAGCTACTAGCCGTTCAAAATCTACCAATCAATGCGCAATGTAGTGGCTGCAAGTGAAGTAGACTCAGTGTACGTTTCAATTGTTACCGCTGACGCGCCTATTTCAATTGCAGCGAGCAAAGCTTGAGCCGATTGTTTACTTTTTCGTTGTTAATTAATCAGTAACTATGCATCCTATTGAGAGCAAAAACGCTTTAAATTTCACAAAGAATCCATCCCTGTAGGTATTTGTATATTTATCTAACAAGAACTGCTTCAATTGTAAATTATTCATGATCTATTGTTTTGTTTTGTTGCTGGATTCTTGAATAGTAGAACTTTTCTTAATAACTTCTAAAAGAAATTGCTGTTCATTCCTTCAAGATCAATATGAAACTTTTTCTTTCAGTTTTAGTAAACAAATTACAAACTACTCAATCGAGACGAAAACGAAAAAATAGTCGAGCAACACTAACAAGTTAATTAGAAAAGTTCAGTTTAAAGTCAGACACTATATTCGTCAATGCTTTTTTTTTTTTAGAAACTAAACTTTCTGTTATCAATCTTCTCAAGTTTAAAACTGGTCGATTAACAGCGAAATTTTCCAAAGTGCTTCTCGTAAAACCTTCATCCCATCGCTACTTTGATAGATTAAACAAAAAAAAATGAAAAACTGTTTAATAAATATTGTCTATATTTAGATACCAGTACAAAACAAATAATAAATGGCAGCGTTTAAATTCAAAACAAACGAAAAAAGAGAATGACAAACTGTGTGCGCTGTTGGGCAAAAACAAAAAATAGAATGGAAACAAATAAATCTAATTCTAAACATTTAAGAATTTTTTTATTTTTCTGTTTTGGTCCACGAAATAAGTTGGTCATATATGCGAACAGGGAATACGTTTTATATGATTTTTTTGAACCTGAAAGTAAAAACTCAGTCAAATAAGCACATAAAAATAATATTTAACTGTGCCAGTTTGAACTGAATATACACAAAAGATGATTATAATAATAAATGAACATTTATTTCTACTTCAGCATCCCTCTTTGACAATTTATATTATTTCACATTTTCTCCTTTTAAAAATATTTCCTTTTTATTATCACAGAAAATCATCTCGATGTTTTTTGTACACAATATACGATATTATAAAAGAAAAAATAAGTCTATAAAGAGGTAACTACTTGTAATATTGACTCACCTGAGACATAATGTTAAATCCATCGCAAAACTGTAATTTTTTCTTGAAGAAATTCTTGTAAAAGCATTCAGAGGTCTTGTCGAAATTGAAGGTTCAAGGAAACTCCATAGCTCGTACAGCTAATTAATTTCTTTGCGAACTTTATCCAGGAGTACAAGTAAATTGTAGGGCTTCGTATAAGTTTCGCATTTTAAAAACTCAAGCTGATATCTCATATTACATATGAACACAAATACGAAGACCGACTGAAAAGTTTAGTAGGTAGGACTGTTTTTGAATTTTAATAGCAGTAGAAAATTTGAATCCTCAGAAATTCTTTGTCTTCCGGAATTCTTCAGGACTTCCACTTCTTCCCTCGCCTCAAGAGGCATTTCGAGGAATATCTACTTCCTCCCTCATCTCAAGAGGGATTTAAAGGTACTTTCATCTCTTGTCTAAACTTAAGAAGGTTCTCGACTGGGACTTTCACGTCTTATCCCACCTCAAGACCGATCTATAAGTACTTCCATTTCTTCCCTCGCCTCATGAGAAAGATCGAAGGACTCCCACAGCGACCCTCTCTCAAGAGGGATCTCAAGGAACACCCGCTTCTTTCCTCATCTCAAGAAGGATCTAGAGAAACTTTCATCTGTTTTCTAATCTCTAGAAGGAGCTCGAAAGCGACTTCCACTTCATATCTCACCTCAAGACAGATATCTAAGTATCTCCATTTGTACCCTCGCCTCAAGAGAAAGCTCGAAGGACCCCCACATCGACCCCCATCTCAGGAGGGATCTCGAGGAACGTCCACTTCTTCCCTCATCTCAAGAGGGATCTAGAAGAACTTTTTATCTCTTCTCTGACCTTAAGAAGGATCTCGACAGGGACTTCCACTTCTTATCACACCTCAAAACCGATATTTAAGTATCTCCATTTCTATCCTCGCCCCAAGAGAAAGCTCGAGGTACTTCCACTTCTTCCCTCGCCTCAAGATGGATTTCGAGGAATATCTACTTCCTCCCTCATCTCATGAGGGATCTAGAAGGACTTTCATCTCTTCTCTAATCTTAAGAAGGATCTCGACATGAAATCGCACTTCTTATTTCACCTCAAGACCGATATCTAGTACCTCCATTGCCCTCCTCACCTAAAGAGAAAGCTCAAAACATCCACATCTGCCCTTATCTCAAGAGGGATCTCGGAGAACGTCCACTTCTTCCCTCATCTCTAGGATCATCAAGGATCTAAAGCGACTTTTATTTCTTCTCTAAATTCAAGAAAGATCTCGAGAGGAAGATTCACTTATTATCTAACTTCAAGAACAATCTCTAAGAACTTCCAATTCTTCCCTGGCCTCAAGAAGAATTTTGAGGGACTTCCACTTCTTTCCTTATCTGACGGGGGCTTTAGTAGGACTTCCATTTCTTCTTTAACTTCAAGAAGGACACTACAGGGACTTTCACTTCTTCTTCTAGCCAACTCAAAAGCTTCTACAAGGACTTCCATTTCTTCTCTAACAACAAAAGGGATCTTGAGAAGGATTTCCACTTTCTCCTTCGTCTCAAGAGGGATTTACAAACACCTTCATTTCATCAGTGACTTCCAGAAGGACCTCCAGTTCATTCCTCACCTCAACAGAGTTTAGAGGGACTTCTACTTCCTCCCTCACAGCAGGAGGGATCTCGAAATATTTCTTCCCAAGTCTCAAAAGAGATCTCGAGGGTCATTACTATGGCCAACCTGCACCCGAATACAAATACGTTCCTCACGGTGGGAAAAATATCTCAGTATAAACGGGAATACAATTGAAAAATAAATTTTGCATTATGTGGCTAAAGAATTATGCTTTAACTCATTCCAATTGAATCCTACGCGCTAGTGTGATAAACTTATCAGCCGATCTTAGTAGACAGTCTTTTTTTTCTTTCTTCCCAAAAACTTTTTGGGTAGCACATTAAGAAATTGACCATGAAGCTGAAGAATTGTCATCGACAGGGCACTTTTATGACTTCAAAACAGCTTCTGTTCTTTAATTTTAATTTAGTTTTGAGTTACGTAGGTGTGTCACCTGTTGCAACGTAAAATATATCTTACAGTTCGCATCGTAGTTCTTATTTTGTGAATAACCTCTTCCTGAAACAAATATAATACAAATATTTTCTTAGGAAATTCAATATCTTGTCAGAAAAAGGCAATAATCGGAACTTAGAAAGTCTATTAGTCAAAACGATATCAGCTGTAGTAAATGAAGTACCTACTAAGAATGTGGTGTCTATAAATTTTGTTGTAATGGTGGCTACATTGGCCAAACAGGTGGAGTTATATAAACTAGACTAACCCAACATAAAAAAAAACGAAACACAGTATGTGTCATCATCATCGTCTTAAGGTCGTCTGTCCTAAGACTGGTTGGACATGTACCTCCACTCTTTTCTATCCTGAGCTAAACTTCGCATTTCCCTAAAACTATAACAGCCCACATCCTTAACTATTTGCGAACAGTAATCTAATCTAGGTCTACCTCTACCCCACCGAACTCCTGTTTCTGCCTCTAATATGTCTCTGACTAGACCTTCATGCCTAAGAAGGTGTCCTACCAACCTATCTCGCCTATTTCTTATTGACTTCCATAGAGTCCTCTGTTCTCCTATTCTTTCCAATACCTCTTCATTTCTAACCTTTTCTACCCACGATATCCTCATCATCCGCCTATAACACCACACTTCGAACGCTTCTAACCTTTTCTTTTCCGCCGCGCCCATTGTCCATGTTTCGCACCCGTACAATGCCGTGCTCCAAACATACACCTTTAACAACCTTTTTCGAATTTCTAGATTAACCGTTCGCGAGCATAGAAGTGACTTCTTTTTATTAAAGGCGACACGACCCTGCACTATCCTCTGCTTTATATCCCTACTACTCCTTCCATCCTGACTTATCTGACTTCCTAGGTATCTAAAATTAGCCTCTTCTTCTAATTTTTCGTCTCCTATCTTTATATTCGCCCTTTCCCTACTTTTTCTTCCCTTGCATACCAGTATTATGTGCATTTGTCGCATAATATTTATCCAAATAACATCAAAACACAATAACAGTGGATGTTGTTATCGCAATTATTTTATATTTTGGAGATGAAACGGGACAATGGAGTATCTTCAAGAGTTTTCACCTTTTATACGAAGTGCAATGGGTTGTTTTATGAGGTAGCTTTACGACAGTTTCTTCGACAGTTTTTCTAATTACCGCCGATAATAGTGTCACACGGACGTCCATTTAGTAAAGTTTAAGAAAGTTGCCTTACGTATCTGTATATATATATAGAGAAGTCAGGAAAAGGAAACAACAGCGTCCAATTAAATTTAAATTGTACAGAGTACAGTTCAGTTTTCACGTTGACTACGTCTCAGAAACACTTCAAACTCTTCGACTTATTTTTAAAAAACTTAACGGCTTAATTAATTTGATGTAATCCTTTTAAAATGGTAAACTTTTTATTTTAGAGAGGAAAGTTTTTATTTCACTGTTGCTTTGGCATTTGTTTCCAGTTCTTTTTCGTTTTCAAGCTTAAACAAGCATAGACAATACAATATTTCTTTTTTTTTTGTCGGTCAAAATATTGGCTTTCTAGTTCCCATAGAAACACCAAGCACTTGTTAAACATATTATATCTGCAAACTTTGAAACGTAAGACCGGAAGCTTTACAAAATTCCTGCTTGGTAACTGTACTCTCTCTGACTTCTCCTGCTGCCTTTCGAGCAATGGGGTTAGATGATTACGTAATTTTGAACCCTAGCATATTCAGAGATTGTGATGTGGGCGTTACAATTAGTAGCGAAGCTAATTATGAAGCTATAGACCGATGTGCATGCTTTTGTACATCGGTAGCAGTTCACGATGTACTGCACACTTTCTAGACGCAACAATTTAAAAGAAACAACGTTGTCCTTGTTAGACAAGGAAACTTGTAATTTGACAGAATCATACGGAGTTTCCAGATTGAGGCCAACATGTTTTACTACTCTTTAGTTTTAACAGGCACTTATAGAGCTTAAGCAGCAACGTAGAGAAGTAAATATCAGGAAGAGAGTCAGACAAGGATATAAACATCGAAGATGGACCAACGTCATTAAAAACAGGACAACTGTAGGGATAGACGTACAGGGGCAAAAGATTTGTATGCTTAGATTTGCAAATGATGTTGCAGTATTAGTACTGACGATCTTAGGATGATGATGATGATGATGATAGTAAATAATGATTGATAAAGAAAAGGCTTTTATATCTGAACACCCTACCCGATATCTCCCAATCACCACTGAACTGTAAAGACTAATACCCCAAAAGTATGAGAGTTTTTTTTTGCTTATCAAATACATCCAAACAACAAGAAAATGATTATTACACATCACACATGTTCTGAAACAACTGCAATGATCTGAATTGATTTTACTCGTCCTGAAATCTCCGTAGCTACTTTGCATCTTTTTTAAAAAATTAATGGAGGGTAAAACATGTCAAAGTTCGAAAGCTTTGAGGCTTTTCGCCTGGGGGATTCCCAGACAGGGAGAGAGGCCGTCCGGCGGGCGCGATCGATCGCGCAAAATACTCGTTTCCTTAAGAGCAAAGGTAAAAGGTTTACCAACTTAACAAAACATGCACAGATGATGTTGGAGCGCAAACAGTCGGGAACATTTCCTATTCAAAGCCACCTCCGTCTCTTATGCCGACTCGTATACACAATTTAAACTGTTAAGGGTTGTTTTTTGCAGTGTGCATGCCATGAGAAAGAAAACGCCGAACTCAAGTTTTGGAATCAGTTATGATGAGACAGTGGAACATGATTAGAAAAAAATTTTAGACAAGGTCTCTACGTCTTTAATAGGGAGACCTTCAGTGTGACCTTAACCTTCACTTCAAGGTCATTTAAACGTTAAAATGGCAATACATATCTTTGATCCCAGAAATGAAAAAATTGGGAAACTTTCTACTCGAAAACACTCTTGAAATTAGTTTGCTTTTAAATTTTCGGTTTGCAGTTTAATAAGAAATTAAAATCAAATCAATTTCAAGTATATTTAAAATTATAATCACCTTCAAATAACCCTGAAAATCAAGATCAAGGTCCAGAATAATTGCATTCAATAAAAATAAGTCCCAACAGATTTTCCCACTTACCTGCATCAAATTGAAGCACATGGCTATGAGAGCCATCCCCAGCATCAGATACATTGAACAAAATATGAAACTGAGCTCGTAGCCTTTTCCCGAATATATTTTGTCCCCGGGAACGATATCCCCGAAACCTATAGTACTCAATGATATAAAACAAAAATAGGAACCATCAAGCAAATTCCAGTCTTCGTAACGGGAAAATAGAATCGCACCCCCGCAAACGTACCTGAAACAGACTTGATCATCTTATGCAGAAGCTCACGGTTTTCCCATACTTACCCTACCATAATGGCGAGACATATGGTTAAAGGTACCGTGACGGCTTGTGAATCGTACGAAACGTCGGTTTCTGTCACACCGTCACTGTCTTCTTCTTCCTCGTCGTCGCTACTACTTCCTCCAAGTGAATTCAGTCTGTACTCCTCCATGTGAATGTTATGAACACTGGCCTGAAGAACAGAATAATAAATTTCTACCCTCGTTTGTGCAAAGGAAAAACAAACCTAATATACATATATAACGCTTTTATTTCTGTTAGAAAAGAAAAGCAGAAGGAAAAAGTGATAAAAGTGTACGTGAAATAATTACAGCGAAAGTTGGAGTAAATGGTATTCAGGAAGTCGCCACCCTTTCACGCATTACCATCGTCGTGTAACTTAGTACTTGAAACGAAAGTTGCAATTTTAGCTTAATGGGAACTGGTAATTCCCACATTTACATTACACTCGGAAATATTGGGTGTTTTGACTTGCAAAGAAGGAACTAGGATATGAAATATACATTTTATATTCTGGAATGGACGGCGATAGGTGTTTCTGAATTTAATAACTGACCAATGGAAATGTCTTTTTCAGCAAAATAAAAAAACAGCATCGCAATAGAAAATTTTAATAAAAAACGCCATATTTCATATGCACCAACCCCTATACAATACGTTCCTACCCTATTCCATTATATTTCTTCGTCTCTCTCTTCTTGCCTCTTTATGTTGAACTCCTATAGAGAACTACCGCTCCAAAGCATAACACATTCCTTTACTCCTAACTTTTCTTAGATACCTACCAATTTTTTTTTTTAATCTAGCGCAGTGTGATTCGAACCTGCGCTCTTTGTACTCGCAGCCTATCATCTTAACTGACTGCCCTACCGCACCCTTCCGATATTCCTCCCTCATTTTCTGATATATGTGCTTCGCAAGAGAAAATAAACGACATACATCGAAACACCTCGGAAGAGGAAAGAAAGCATTTGTCACGGCCACACAACCGTCATGCCGACGTTCAACTTTGTCGTAACAGTAGCCGTGAAAAAGCCTCCTTGGTATGTTCAATAAAAAAATCTGTCAAGTTTCATCATGCGCCGTGAATTAAAATGATATATGTTCTCCGCACTTCTTCGCTGACATGCACGTTCTGGTGAAAGCCATCGCCGTGAAAAATTACTCGGAATCATTCCGATTGGATGACTGCGTACAGCACTCGGGCAGGTATACCTCGAGCACAATATTGTTCCCAAAGGCCATAATAAAAATGATTCTCTGACTGATTTAATTACTAGATTGGATTAATACTGCCAAAAAAATGACCTAAACGTCTGTCTTTGCCGTATATCCCTTCGGTATGTTACGATAAAAGATATTAAGGATGCTTTCTTTATTTGACAGTGACAATTATGCTTTCTGCTTCTTTATGCGCCGCCACTGGTCTATTTGATTTGGTTCCAATGAGTTAAACTTATTTCTGACAAATTTTATCATATTTGTGAACCTTTGACATCGAAACCGAACAAATCTGTTGGCAGAAAGATCAAAAGGGAGAATATGTTTCAATCTCTGCTTTCAACTTCGGATACCTGCCACAGTTGCAAGCAGTTTTTAGCTAAACACCGCTACCACCACTGTAATAAAAGCGCCAGAGCCGTACGAGATACGATTTGCAAAAATATAATAAGAACATGTTCTTTATATGTAAAATTAATTTTGATACACATCAGGAGAAACAAAGATTTCAATTTTAAGTTTGGCTGAAAGCTGAAAGCAACGAATAAAACTTTTATGTAGAGGTGTATCAAACGTGTGTCATTCTATATCTCCGCTAATTTACTTTTCCATGGAAACCTTTACTCAAAGGGAAGACGCACGGAAATACAAACAGACAAACAAACTTGCAAACATAGAGAAAAACGTACAGACATATGTACACAGTTCCTCAGAATAATGTAATTTTGCTAAACCAAGTTTACCATCTGACTGAAAACCGAGAAATTAAATACAGATTGAGTCGGTGCTACTAGCAAAATAATATTGAAATTTCTACACAGTTTCAACAGAAACGTATTCATACCTATAGTATATCATATTGAAAATAAAAATTCATGTCTTATCCTATGTAAAGATTAGATCTTCTCATTGTTCTTGTTGCCTAACTAACTTCCAATGATAAAATATTAAACTTTACTTATGCCTTAAAATACACTTAGTACTGCCCTGGTCGTGTCTTTTATTGTTACGAATTGTAATCTAACTAGTATGAAAAATGTTAGACAAGATCTATAAGAATATCGACTTGTTGAACTGAATATTCTTTAGATGGCGATGTCTACGATTTTTGCGATAATTCATCAAACGCTGCAACATTCCGACAGAATGCTAACTTATTATTCATCATTTATTTGTTACATACATAAAAATTATTGAGGGTAGTGGTAAGGAGAACTATCTCATCTGGGGGAATGTTGAAAAAATATCCAGCTATAATAGTAAATAACAGTTCCAAAATGGCGCTGGTGTAGGCAACAGGTATAATATGAATGCCGAGTTAGAAAATTTAATATTTTTAGTGAGTAGAATAGTTAGTAACCAAACGTTAACTGTTTACGTAGTTCAATTAGATCTTCTCATTGTTCTTGTTGCCTAACTAACTTCCAATGATAAAATATTAAAATTTACTTCTGCCTTAAAATACACTTAGTACTGCCCTGGCCGTGTCTTTTATTGTTACGAATTGTAATCTAACTAGTATGAAAAATGTTAGACAAGAGGTCTATAAGAATATCGACTTGTCGAACTGAATATTCTTTAGATGGCGATGTCTACGCTTTTTGCGATAATTCATCAAACGCTGCAACATTCCGACAGAATGCTAACTTATTATTCGTCATTTATTTGTTACATAGGTACATAAAAACTATTGAGGGTAGTGGTAAGGAGAACTATCTCATCTGGGGGAATGTTGAAAAAGTATCCAGCTATAACAGTAAATAACAGTTCCAAAATGGCGCTGGTGTAGGCAACAGGTATGGTATGAATGCCGAGTTAGAAAATTTAATATTTTTAGTGAGTAAAATAGTTAGTAACCAAACGTTAACTGTTTACGTAGTTCAATTAGATCTTCTCATTGTTCTTGTTGCCTAACTAACTTCAAATGATACAATATTAAAATTTACTTATGCCTTAAAATACACTTAGTACTGCCCTGGTCGTGTCTTTTATTGTTACGAATTGTAATCTAACTAGTATGAAAAATGTTAGACAAGATCTATAAGAATATCGACTTGTTGAACTGAATATTCTTTAGATGGCGATGTCTACGATTTTTGCGATAATTCATCAAACGCTGCAACATTCCGACAGAATGCTAACTTATTATTCATCATTTATTTGTTACATACATAAAAATTATTGAGGGTAGTGGTAAGGAGAACTATCTCATCTGGGGGAATGTTGAAAAAATATCCAGCTATAATAGTAAATAACAGTTCCAAAATGGCGCTGGTGTAGGCAACAGGTATAATATGAATGCCGAGTTAGAAAATTTAATATTTTTAGTGAGTAGAATAGTTAGTAACCAAACGTTAACTGTTTACGTAGTTCAATTAGATCTTCTCATTGTTCTTGTTGCCTAACTAACTTCCAATGATAAAATATTAAAATTTACTTCTGCCTTAAAATACACTTAGTACTGCCCTGGCCGTGTCTTTTATTGTTACGAATTGTAATCTAAAACACATTTCAACTTTGAAGATGAAAACGCCTTATTAAAAGTTCACATTATCCTATTCGCCCCTGCTAATTGGTATCAAAAATGTTAGACAAGGTCTATAAGAATATCGACTTGTCGAACTGAATATTCTTTAGATGGCGATGTCTACGCTTTTTGCGATAATTCATCAAACGCTGCAACATTCCGACAGAATGCTAACTTATTATTCATCATTTATTTGTTACATAGGTACATAAAAACTATTGAGGGTAGTGGTAAGGAGAACTATCTCATATGGGGGAATGTTGAAAAAGTATCCAGCTTATAACAGTAAATAACAGAACCAAAATGGCGCTGGTGTAGGCAACAGGTATGGTATGAATGCCGAGTTAGAAAATTTAATATTTTTAGTGAGTGAAATAGTTAGTAACCAAACTCCTTACCTCTACCCTTACTAGAAACTTACTTGGGACAAATCGCTGTTATTTCTACTGTCTACCCTGCTATTAATATATTCGATACTAAGTTGTAGGGCTCTTCTTCGCCGTCTTTCAGCCCTTCGTCTGGCAACCCCCGGACAACACCTGCACAAACAGCATTTCGCATAGATCCATTTGAAAGAGCCGGCCATTATGTCACCGATGTTTGATAAATAAAGTAGAAATAGCGGCATGCCAATAATGGCATAGATTATTGTAGCCACCTTACCCCATGGTGTCCGGGGTAGTATATTACCATACCCTAGAGCAAAATAAAAATACTTTTACGGGTAATAGGGACAGAACTATTTTTTAAATGGTGCGCAGTCTTACTATCCAAAATTATGTTATTGGAATTAACATTTTACATAGACAAAATTTACTTTTGTATTTATAGGAAAATAGGCAAACAACACAAACGGAATCAAATTTTGTACATACTTTGTAGAAGGTACAGAAAAGAATATAAGGGGTAATCCAGAAAAAAAATTGTTCCCGAGGATATCAAAATTAGTTTTTTGTGGTCGTCCGGCATATCAAACTTAAATTGATATATACAGTTCTATACTTCGTTTAGTTACTCTAGCGAAGTGACCTTCAGTTTGATCGACGCAAAGTAGAAGAGAACACCACTAGGTCAGACAAGAAAGGAGACAACTCTCGGCAATACTCTTAACCGGTGAGGAGCGCATAATCCGTACAGTACTGCACGGAAAAATTGACCGTTTTATCCATTAAAATTGCATTGCTCAAATGTGCTTTTATTGGTACCAATTACTACTGAAAATATCAACGAGATGTTTATTTATATTTGAAGACATATTAAAGCCTTTAACGCTTGTTTTAGACTCGCATTTCTTTTCATGACTGAACAAAATTTTTGACAGGTACTGTATGGAAAAGTATGTTAAATGAATAAGAGTCGAGAGTATAATGAATTTTTTTCTCCCTACCTGCAATTTTGCCAACGCACATCGAAGACATTGGAAGGGGCCTATCGTTACAGAAAGTAAACGAAGTATAATAACCTAAATAATATTTTCAATTTGTAGATACTTCTACATAAATATCCATGAAAGACAAATAAACAATTTGTTGTAGTTAATAAATATTTTTAAAGAATTCCTGCTACCTCCCGGCCCCTCCGCCACTTTTGTATTCGAAATCTCTTAAAATCCAAATTCCTGAACTGAAAATAATGCACGCGAGCTTCATCCTTTTTTCTTTTTAACACATATTTCCAATAATCCTTCGCTTTACCCTTTCAGTCAAATAAATCCATCAGAATTATAAATGACATCGACGCTTTTTGAATGTAAAGCTGTATCGGTAATAAATGTTACAGTTCTTTCGTTTCTTTTTTATGCTTTCAAAATTCGCAAAGCCGATTTTTTACCGAGCGAACGTAGCGAGATATTCCATTATTCTTAATTTATTCAACGCGCCTGCATATAAACTTTCATGGGCAGTTTCGTCAAAATATTGTTATAAAAACTGCATTACAACCTCGCTTTTCCATGTCACGTTTGCATACATATTTTTCCGAACCGTTCTACAGGTGGCCGTTTTTATAATCCATATTTTACCTAACACCAAGCAGTTCTTTACAAAATTCCAAGGCGTTTTTTCCTTTACAGTTTTTCATTCGAACGAGTAATAACAGAGTTATCAGCAATTAAAACTCAAGCATGCATACGGCACCAGCTCTGCTGCATGCAGAAGTAGGCGCTGCATATGCTTCGAATGTCATAAACTTGCAGCGACATGAACGCGTTCCTATTGGCTAATCTTTAACTATTAATTACTCTGTAAGTAAGCATTGTATTAAAAAACTGCAAAGGACAAAAAGTCTTCAAATTTTACAGGGATTCTGTTATATGTAACTTTGAAACGTTTTAAATAAATCTTCATTGAATTGTAGGTGGTTTTGCGACAGACGAAGTATAATATACCTTTTTATGTGCTTGGGGTTTGATTTTCGTCTCATTTAACATCTTTCTTTGGGATAATCGTGAAAAAAATATGGTACAACCCTTCCACTGGCCCCGATATTAAAAGGTAATTTCTCTAACAGTATTTCCCAGACAGAAAATTAATGACGGGGTGAGCGTGGAAATTTCTACCATTAAAACTTTCTGTGAACGCCTTGTTTTTAAATGTGAAGGTTAAAATCTATTTGAAGTTACACAATTAATCTTCTTTTTAACTTTTAAACGGTCTTGCCGTTGAAAAAAACCTTATTTTCTACTCAATACGAAAACAAAAATTACATCCTCATTATTCATTAATATTACAGCGTAGAATGTTCATTTGTCAAATTAATTCATGATAAGAACTATAACCTTCCGTAAAATTATCGAATTTCTGATCTGTGTGATCCTATTTCAACCCTCTATTGGTGACACAGTCGTCCAATCGTGAACTAAATGTTACCCTAGTTTATACCCTTGTAAGGGTGTCGAAATTGTTACCAATATAGGGCACATGACGAATTTATAGAATGTTAGCGAATTACACGAAGAAATTTATAGACGGGGGTTGTACAGTTAATCGGCCAAGGAATGACAACTACATTAATTTTCAAAATAAGTTAACTCCACCATGAATAATGAATTTACAACTGTCTTCCAAGAAATAGCATCCCTATAATCTCTATACAAGGCATAGGGAGATTGAAAAGACTAGAAAGGAGACTTTGACGCCAAAAACTTCATAATCCTAAGCCGTAATTCCAAAAACTAATTTTTACATTTTTGATTATTCATTTACCTTTTTGACATTGCTGAAAACTTTTTCATGGATGAAGATGAACGAATTACAAATTAATTAACAAAACCCTTTTGTTTTTGTATATGTAAAATACAATTTTCTCACTCGGTTGATAAATAATAATAGAGTAATAACGCAGTGGCGTGTTGTGTGAGTGGGCGGCGTGGGGGGGGGTGGTTAGATACTAATAAATCCTAATTAGGACGCGGGTGAAAAAGATGTGGTTCACGGGGTTGCTTTGCACATATGCTTGCTACAAAGCGAAGGGGATAATAAATCATTTTGATTATTAATCACCACCGGCCGTCCACATGGCGCTCGAAGCTGCAAGCCAAACGGATTCGTCGGAATGAAAATACAATAGATGATACCTATAATATGTTACTAAACGCCACGGGGGGCTACCAATGTGGCCAAGATGTAGGAAAAAGGATCAAAATTTAACACTCTCCGTTTTAATTATTTCTTACCAACACCGCAAACGGAAAACCAAGGGGATACTGATCACAAATTTATTGAGTAATATGCATATGAGATCTGTTCAAAAACTATCGCGAAGTTTGAGTTTTTTTCAAAAATTATTTGTGAATATCTATTTTGTCCCCTTCAAAGTAATCCCCACCAAATATTATACACTTGTACCAACGTTCTTTCTAATCCTCGAAGCACTTAAAAAAATATTTTTTTGTGATCTTGTTCAGCTCCTCCTTCCATGCCGTCTTTATCTCCCCAATCGTAGCGTAGCGTCGTCTTTTCATGGGCTTCTTCAGTTTCGGAAACCAAAAAAAGTCACAGGGGGTCAGATCTGGGGAATACGGTGGCTGCGGCATTATTAGTATGTTGTTTTTGGCCAAAAAATTCACGCACAAGCAACGATGTGTGACCAAGGGCGTTATCATGGTATCAATTTTTGTTTTTCCACAAATCCGAGCGATTGCTTCGTGCAAAGTGGACATAACTTGCAGGTGATATTCCTTATTAACCGTTCTACCCTGTGGCAAGAACTTATGATGCACCACGCCCCTGCAATCGAAGAAAACCGTAAGCAAAACCTGCACATTCGACCTAACTTGGCGCGCTTTTTTCGGTCTTGGATCGTGCGGCAGCTTTCATTGGGATGATTGAGCTTTGGTTTCCACGCCATAACCATAAACCCATGATTCGTCATCAGTTATGATCCTCTGGAGTAAATTTGGGTCGTCGCGGACAGAGTCCAACAGCTCCTTAGCAATGTTAATGCGATGCTGTTTTTGGTACGAATTTCGCGGCGACCCGTCTCATGCCCAAATCATTGGCAAAAATCGAATGGCAGGAGCCAATCAATCCGTTTAGGTCCTCAGCAACTTCTCGACGAATCATCATCTTGTCAGGCCTCTGAGAACGTTTTGTATCATCGATAAATGTTGCTTCGGTTCGAGGTAACTTCACCATATGCTACAGTCAACATTCGGAATGTATCCACGCATTTAATTTTGTTTTTCACACAAAAAAAAATCGAAAATGGAATATACGTAACTCGCGGAAAACAAAAAATACTTTTTGAATAGACCCCGTACACCATTAAAATCTTCCGCTTTGGTTTAATAATGTTACATTTAGAGTAGAAACTCTGGCCTTATTGCGACCGTTATTTCGTAGCAAACTGGCGTTAATTACTGTTCTTAATTCGGGGTTGAAACCTAAAACGGGCCGCTATCTTTAAAAATTATAAGGTCCCAGTCACAATGAAGAGAGAGGGAGACAATCATTCTTTATTAGTGTAGACAATGGGAACGGTCTCGAAACATCCACACAAAAATGAACCCTTTATCTAACTTAACGGGGGTAACTGATGAAAAATCATCCGACAATGAACACCTAACTTTTTTTGGGACAATTGGGAACAGACATCGAAAATAGCCTTCAAACGTAAAACTCATTTCTTTATTCGTTAAAGGAATATATATTCCACACATTCAAAATAAAATGTGTAATTTATATGTTCGGTTGATTTGCATTACATGATTACATTCATCTATCGGGTTGTTCGGAAAGTCATTTCGTTTTTTCCGACAGAGGATTTAATTGTATTCTTTTGCACCCAACTTCACATTTAAGCCGTATAATTTTTATATGCTTTGAGAGCTCATATAGCAAGGCTTGTGTGTGAAAAATTCCAATTAATTCTACGCAGTAGTTTTTGGTTGGTGCCCTTTTAAATATGGAGAGCGATAAGCAGCATTTTCGACATATCTTACTGTTTTACTACAGAAAGGGTAAAAATGCTGTTCAAGCCAGAAAGAGATTGACTGATCTGTATGGGGAAGGTGTGTTGACAGTACGCCAGTGCTAGAACTAGTTTGCTAAATTTCGATCCGGCAATTTTGATGTCGAAGATGCACCACGTTCGGGAAGGCCGGTTGAAGCTGATAAAGACGCGATAAAGGCATTGGTTGATGTGAACCGGCGAATAACAACACGTGAGATCGGATTGAGGTTAAATTTATCAAATTCAACAGTTTATGACCACTTGAAAGGCCTGGGATTATCCTCGAAGCTCGATGTATGGGGTCCCCATGTTCTCACAGAGAGAGATCTGTGTCGCCGCATTGACGTCTGGGATTCGCTTCTCAAACGTCACGAAAATGATCCGTTTTTGAAGCGCATCATCACTGGGGACGAAAAATGGGTTGTATACAACAACGTCAAACGCAAGAGGTCATGGAGCAAAAAAGATGAACCGGCTCAAACCATTTCCAAAGCCGATATTCACCAAAAAAAGGTGATGCTGTCTGTTTGGTGGGATTTTAAAGGAATCGTTTTTTTTGAGCTTTTACCGGATAACACAACGATTAATTCGGAAGTCTACTGTCATCAGCTGGACAAACTGAATGATGCACTTCAACAGAAAAGGTCAGAACTAATCAACAGGAAAGGTGTAGTGTTTCACCAAGACAACGCGAGACCTCACACAAGTTTGGTCACTCGCCAAAAGCTTTTACAGCTTGAATGGGATACAATGCTACACCCACCATATTCTCCAGACCTGGCACCATCGGATTATTATTTGTTCCGGTCACTCCAAAATTTTTTAGACGGTAAAACCTTCACCTCAAATGAGGAGGTCAAAAACCTCCTCGATCAGTTTTTTGCCAGCAAAGACCAAAAATTTTATGAGCGTGGAATTATGCTACTACCAGAAAGATGGCAAAAGGTGTTGGACCAGAACGGTCAATATATAATTTAATAAAGTATTTGTTTATTATACGAAAACTGTCTTTCATTTCCACAAAAAAAAACACTAAATGACTTTCCGAACAACCCTATAGTTGTTACGACAGGACCGTATTCAGTAAAAATATTACAATATTTTTGTGTTTACTTACCAATAGTTGTTATCACAGTTAACGAATATAAAAATCCACCTGCAAAACGCCACTGTTTAAATTCGTCTACATCATCAGACCCATCGTAACCATTTCTAGCTGCTTCAATAATATCTTTCTGATATTTAAACAATTCAATTTCGACAGCGTTTCGCCAAGTTTCTTTATACAGAACGTTCAGATTGTACGTCACCTCCCAAAGTCGATTTATTGTTTGATTACGACTTGTAAGAATATTTATTTTCACTTCTTGTTCTGTATGGCCTTCAATAGATGTAAAAATGAAGGCGCCTGCTATGGTGTATCCTACCTGAAATCAGTTTCGCATATAGACAACCCAAGATACAATGTTACATGTAGACAACCCAAGATGCACGTGTGGACAACCCGTCATACGTAGTGTCACATGTATATAGACAACCCAATTTACATGATCAGTAATTTAGACAGATTACCCACCCTAAAAGGATAAGGATTGTTTGAGGGTTAAAGTAGACAGGATTAAAAAAGGATAAGCTGCAGTGTAGTTACGTAGACGAAAATAAAGTAGGTTAGACTACACTACATGATGTGGTTTGGTTAGAATAGAATAAAATTTAACTAAATCGTCGAAAGTTAGACAATTTGTTCGTAGAATTTGCTCTTTTGAATAATGTTTGATTCGATTACCTGAAACCACTGGAATTTTCGTTCGCATGCTGCATGATGAATTACTAGAATTTTTCATTAAGCGCCATACTTGCAGAGTTGAAAATTTTGACATTCCCTAAACTAATTAAGTTCAATCTCTGAATACTGAATAGTATGTACCGCGTATTTGTACATAGGTGTACGACACTGTACATGTGTGAGGTAACGTCACTTATTAATATGGTGTTCGCACACTAATCCCAGTAGGTAGGAGCATGCGTTTTGTGGAAATTAAAATTCCTGACCATGAATAATGCGGGCATCGCGAGGAAAGAGAATTAATAAAGCGAGTTGCTGGTTTTAATTATTGTTTTTGTATTAGTCTGTTCCAGTTCTTTGCAAAAATTAATTAAAAATCGGCCCCAATCGCCACACCAATTCCAAATAATAATCAATTAGTTTTCGATAAGCGATTTGGATGTCTTTTTAGATTACATTTATATATACATGCGTATAACTGTGTGTATAGCGTATATCGGATTTTATTACTTTATGCCTGGTGGACAGGTGATGCAGTTTTTGGAAACAATGGCTTACATAATCGCATTAATCTACACTTAATAAATAACAGAAATTGATAAAACTAATAATTATTTATTATTTCGAAATAACCAATATCCCGAACGTTATCTACAGGGTGTAAAAGAAATAGGTGCCGAGTATTGTAGGAGGGTTTAAAGTAGATGCAATAAATAACAGTACGATGAGTTTAGTAGCCTGGTTAAGCGCAAAACTTTTTTTTAAGGAAATTACAATAACATACTAGCGGAAGCATGTCCTGTGGGTGTGAATTGGCAACATAAGTGTCTAATAGGAACTGAACAATTTAATACTATAAAAACTTTGCAGCTACATCGATGATAATTGTAATTTCCTTAATCCAATTTTCTACACAATGAGGTACTGGAAAGGGGTGTTACCTTTTTGTGGGAGCTTTGTATTAAGTAAACTTAAGGCTATATAGTACTTTTCTTTACAAACCATCGGCACGAATCCACTCGCGGTTGAAAATCAGTTTCAAGAAAGACTTGTGCTCGCTGCAAATGATAAGGATGCAGCAACTGTTATTTTAAAAATTGCCACGCGATATAGTTTAAACCCGTAAATATGTATCGTATCATATTATTGTAACAACTGTTCTTCAGTGACTGGCGTGCACTAATAATTGATGTTGTATTGCTAAATCACACTTAATCTAATCTAACAAATAAAAAACAAATACTTTCAAGTGCGTTTTTCTCGAAAACAGTGACATTTGGACACACAAACATTTACTTAATTTTCATGTTTTATAGTGCTCTGTCATCTCCTACAGGCAAACTGGGCACTTATTTCTGTTACACCCTGTATAAGTAATTAAAATTATTAGCTGGGAGAGATACAACTAAATTGAAATGTTCAAAATAATAAATGCGTGCACCTGTAATTCATTTAAAATATTCAAATGAATTTATTGAAATATTATCAAATCAAAAAACTGAAATTATAATATTCACTGATTAGTAACAAGTAGCGTCTAGTAGGCTAAATTAATTAGGAGTTAGGGCAGGTTACTCTAAATTAGACCAACTTGACTACCTTAAGGATTATGTACAATGGGTCATGTTAAATGGACATACTAGGGTCAATTGAAAAGTCCCCGGCCTGACACATAAATAGCGGCACCAGAACTAAATCCATATGATTTTCAGTTAGTCCTAACCTCCAAAAGACGCGTCTATAAATTTGACGGCTGTCGGATCATTAGTTTGTGAATTATAGCATTTTTAGTGAAGCAACTTTTATTATTGTGAAAAAAATGGATAAAAAGGAATTTCGCGTGTTGATAAAATATTGCTTTTTGAAGGGAAAAAATACAGTTGAAGCAAAAACTTGGCTTGATAACGAATTTCCGGACACTGCCCCAGGAAAATCAACCATCAAGGATTGGTATGCTAAGTTTAGACGTGGTGAAATGAGCACCGAAGACGGTGAACGCAGTGGACGCCCAAAAGAGGCTGTTACGGACGAAAACATTAAAAAAATCCACAAAATGATTTTGAATGACCGTAAATTGAAATTGAATGTAATAGCAGACACCCTACAGATATCAACGGAACGTACACATCACATCATTCACGAATATTTGGGTATGAGAAAGCTCTGTGCAAAGTGGGTGCCGCGCGAGCTCACTTTTGACCAAAAACAACGACGAGTTGATGATTCAGAGCAGTATTTGAAGATGATCACGCGTAATGAACCCGGGTCTTTGCGTCGATATGTGACAATGGATGAAACATGGCTCCATCATTTCACTCCGAAGTCCAATCGACAGTCATCGGAGTGGACTGCACACGATGAACCCGCTCCAAAGCGTGCAAAAACGCAACAGTCGGCTGGCAAGGTTATGGCGTCTGTATTTTGGGATGCGCGTGGAATAATTTTCATTGACTACCTTGAAAAAGGAAGGACCATCAACAGCGACTATTACATAGCGTTATTGGACCGTTTGAAGGACGAAATCGCCGAGAAACGACCGCATTTGCAGAAAAAGAAAGTCCTGCTTCACCGAGACAATGCACCGTCTCACAAGTCAGTGAAAACGATGGCAAAAATTCATGAATTGGGCTTCGAATTGCTTCCGCATCCACCGTATTCTCCAGATCTGGCCCCCAGCGACTACTTCCTGTTCTCAGATCTCAAAAGAATGCTCGTTGGGAAAAAATTTTCGTCGAATGAAGAGGTGATCGCCGAAACTGAGGCCTATTTTGAAGCAAAGGACAAATCGTACTACAAAAATGGTATCGAAAAGTTGGAGGATCGCTATAATCAGTGTATCACCCTTGAAGGGAATTATGTTGAATAAAAAAAACGAATTTTGCAAAAAAAATGTGGTTTACTATTTTAGGCCGGGGACTTTTCAATTGACCTGTTATATTGTCTATCATCAATCCTATATTCAAATATTGAAGAGAATTTATTATGTTTCTTCGTATTTCTGATAATCTCTGTTGTTGGGGTTAAAAAGGAATCCTGACGCCACCCTTTCCTTATTCTTTTAGGTCACTTTTACTGAATAAATGTAATATTCAATGATAATACGAAATAATACGTCCGGTCTGAAGCCATTTGGACTTATGAGAAACGTATCTAATAAAACTCACCACCAAGCCGATAATTCCGACGTTGCTAAACATAAAGGCGGCAAACTTCCGTAAATAGTCCTTGCATTTTTCAGAGAAAGGTTTCCGCTGTTTCCTTCTCCTGAATGATCGCTTACGTTCCATGTTCTAGAGCGACTTTGTAGTCATGATTTCAACCGGCAAAGCTAAAACTGCAATCCTTTTCTCTCTTAACAGCGACATCTTTCTGTAAAAAGGATATAGTTTAACATCTAACATCACATAAATATTCCAATGCTCTTTCTCCCTCTGACTCGCAGCAACAAACAGAGCATTTTGTTCTTCTTATTCCTCCAACAGCACACACTGCTGGAACTTGTTTTGTTACTAACGCCAAAATAAAAGAAACTCAACAGAAGCTTCTTCTTCTTTATCTTTACATATAAAAACAGTTGAATCTACTGTTCATTCTGTCTGTGTGTTTGTTACCGTAAAGCTCATATGAAGCTTAATTCTCCAAAAGATAATGACCAATGTTTATATATTATCTTCTCCTAATGTGCTGATTTTTATGATTATAGTCCGTTCACATAGAGAAAAGTACAGCGTGAATTATGCACACAAATGTAGGCGGGTCTCCGGAATATAGGTAGTCGCTTACCGTCAGATGTTTCCGATCAAAGCCCAAACGGCCAGCCTCCACATCGATGTGGAGTCGTGTACTTTTCTCTAAGTGAACTGACTATAACAAATTGTAAAATTGAAGTGGAAAACATGAGGATCTCTCAGAGCTGGCGTCAAAATTAAAATCAAAAATTCATATTATGAAGGAAACTACAAACAAAACGCTTGGAGCTTTATCAATATTGACAAAATTTCGTAGATAATCCGGTCCCGCTGGAGAGGATTAATTGACTGTTCATACAACCGCGAAATGCAAATAAATTGATTAATTAATAATTGTAGACATCATCAAATAACATTATTAAATAATTAAGGGATTATTATTATTATTAACTCATGATGTAACTGAGTATGTACACCATATTTGTTTCACATGTAAAATAAATATGAATTTAAAGACAAATGAATAACGTAGAGAGAATTTAATTTTCGTTTTGTTTATTGCGTTGTTTGAGTTTGGTTCTTCGTCAATATCGGCGCAAACTATTAGCACTGAATCGTTTTAATTTCGTCGAATTTCCAAATGGAAATCCATGTAGACAAACAAATGTAATAATGTTAGTGGGTGCATCCTGGAATCGATTCAGGAGGAATCATCACGCCCTACATGAAGAAACTACCTTTTTCAATGCACTATATAAAAAATTATGGGTTACCACTTGGAATAGTATATACCAAACATAATATACAAAGATATATAGGGTTGGATTCTTTGTAAAATTCTAAAGAACATTTTCCTTTTCATTTTTTCAATCCGTCGCGAAATAAGCGAGTTATTGACTACTAAAGGTCAACGAATCAGAATACAGTTAGCGCTCTGCAAGCTGCAGTAGCCGATACAACAGTCATAGGCGGCGACTCACCTACTTCTACTTGCAGCGTGCTTCGATTGGTCTGATCTTTAATTGTCCGTATCTCCGTAACTATACGTCGGATCGAAAACCTACAAAGTAAAAAATGCCTTAAAATTTTACAAAGAATCTAATGGTATGCCTCAAAAACGAATCAGCCTATCACTGTATCATTTTAATAATAATTAAAGAATGGCAGTTAATAAAAAGTTACTTATAGATAGCATTCGTAAAATCGTCCGTGATACCGGAAGTCGGGAAGGGAGTCGTGGGAACATTTCCGGCATAAATTTTACCTGACAAGCGGCATTGCTATAATTTACGAACCGTGAGAATATAACAAGTTCCCATTTTCTTCGCATTTACCTAGTCGGGGAGCTTTTAGAAAGGCGCTTTCCATAATCTGAACTTGACGCTATAATTTTTAACGGAGCTCTTGCAGAGAAACTGTACATTTTCAAGTCAGGAATTTTCTTGTTTTTCTTTTACGGAAAAAGCCAGACTACCTCTAGTTAAAGTATCCCTTCTGGAATTTCAGGAACTTGTGATGATAACAACTTAACAACAGAATTTTCTTTTTTAGGTACTCGACTTTCATTCCTGGAAATTATTTGTAATCAGACTTCGGCACGTATTATCATCTCCTTTATTAAAAAAACCCACGCTTCTAATTAAATGGATAAACCCTATAGTCCTTATAATTGGAAATTATGTTGACAATATCCTTTGTATATATACGTATGTAGCGCGCCTGTAATAAATAATTTATTTCGTAAAAAAAAAACAAATCATTCTAGAAGCACTGAAATTTTCTTCCCTTAACAAAAAATTCAGTTACATGGTAAATAAAACAGCCCGAAGGACCTCCCGGGATGAACATCTATCTATTTGATCAAAAAGGGTCTTGTACAGAAGAGTGCTATCGATAAATAAATATCAAATTCCTGCATTGTTTCAAAAGCGCCACTAGACACAGCTGGCACTCATCCAGGATTTGTTTAAGATGATTTGTGGTTTAACACATCGACCGATACCGTACGCCTATAATGTCACCAGAGAAAAAAATATCGACAGGGCGAGACAACGCAACCTGCGACAGCAAAAAAAAAAATGGGACATTAAATAATTACATAGGAGACAAACACGTGTACAGAAATAATCCGTGACGCGACTAAAAAATTCATCATTTAATATATCACACCACGAAAAGGTTGTCCCAACCAATTTTTCCGCGTCAGGACAACAAATAATAGTGATGACGGTGTAATAATCATGATGAAATAAAGCAATTATCTTCCATAAATTTCTACAGGATTTATGTGAATATTAGTACAATTTGCAATAAATAATAACCGCAAGACTAGCCCAAGTGTATATACGTATACGTACTTGTCTTACACAAATACATCCAGTCAAGGGTCCCGGCCATGGTTAATGATACTGGATTGCAGGGGAAAATAATGCGATATTAATTTGAAATTATTTTTTTCGATTTTTTATTTAACCACTACAAACTACCTCAAATTAATGAAAGAAAAGTTGTTGCTTCCCCGCCGGGAATCGAACCTGGGACCTTTGGCTTTACGCACCAATATTCTGACCACTAAACTACATATATTTAATATATATAATTAAGTTGGTCGTGGTTGTTGTTGTCACCTCGTGTGGTTTAGTGCTCAGAACATTGGTGCGTAAAGCCAAAGATCCCGGGTTCGAATCCCGGCGGAGTTGTGTGACAACAGCAACAATTTTTCCGTCATTAATTTTAGGTAGTTTGTAGTGGGAAAATTAAAAATCGAAAAAATGATTTCAAATTAATATTGCATATTAATCCACTATTAAGTAACTAACAATGTCAAAGGGAAAATAAATTAAACGAAAGATTAGAAGAAGTGGCTGATTTTAAGTATCTAGGAAGTCAGATAAATCAAGACGGTAGGAGTAGTAGTAACGATATAAAGCAGAGGATAGTGCAGGTTTGTGTCGTCTTCAATAAAAAGAAGTCACTTCTATGTTCACGGAACGATTAATTTAAAAATTCGAAAAAGATTGTTAGAAGCGTTTGTTTGGAGCGCGGCGCTGTACAGGTGCAAAACATGGACGGTGGGCACTGCAGAAAAGAAAAGGTTAGAAGCGTTCGAAATGTGGTGATACAGGCGAATGATGAGGATAGCGTGGATAGAGAAGTTTAGAAATGAAGAGGTATTAGAAATAATAGAACTGAGGACTCTATGGAAGTCAGTAAGACATAGGCGAGGTTAGTAAGACACTTTCTCAGGCACGAAGGTCTAGTCAGAAACATGTTAGTAGCAGAAACGGGAGTTAGGAGGAATGAAAGTAGACCTAGATATTATTTAAAGATTAGAGATTAGATTAAAAAATGTTTTAAATTTTCCAAGGGATGTAGCAATGTGATTAGTTTCTTTTTGAAACTTGGCTTGTATGGTTTTTGAAGCTACTGCGGACATAGAAGTAGACATTCCTATTGTTTTTTTTGAGTAATTAAAATCAAAAGGTCCGCCATGTATTTTTTATCTGGAATATCATTTTTAATTTCACTTTGGTTCTCCATGCTTGTCCCACACATGGCTGCATACAATATACGTGACGGGAAAGTGAAATAGTAATACGTTTTCATAATTCGTTTCTTTTGTTCGCATAGAGCACTGTCGGCACATTACGATGGGATACAGCGCCAGCAGGTTCAATAGCAGAACCCGTCCGAGAGCTTTAATCAAAGGCCTAAAGACAACCTTCCAGCAAACCTTCAGTTCACTATTTGTGCACGCTTTTTAGACGACGAAATGAACTTTTAATGTTTCATGTGAACGCCTACTCTTTCTCTCCCCGTCTCTCTCGTTTTTTGCATGCACAATGTGAGTCGCAAATCACGCTATCTACACTAGCATTGCAACAGACCTCTGCTTTCACTTCCGCAATTACGAAAGTTCCGCATACATTTTCACATACGCTTCTGCATGTGGTTCCGTATTTTTATAACAGAAGCTTATCGGAATTTCAGCATCATAAGGTCGTCAGGCTTAACACTGGTTGGACACGCACATCCACGCCTTGTACCTCTACCCCTCTTAACTGCTGTTTTTGCCTCTAATATGTCTCTGACTAGACCTTCATGCCTGAGAAGGTGTCCTACTAACCTATCTCGCCTATTCCTTATTGACTTCCATAGAGTCCTCTGTTCTCCTATTCTTTTCAATACCTCTTCATTTCTAACCTTCTATGTCCACGGTATCCTCATTATTCGCAGGTAACACCACATTCCAAACGCTTCCGCCGCGCTCACCGTCCATGTTTCGCACCCGTACAGCGCCGCGCTCCAAACATACACCTTTAACAATCCTTTTCGAATTTCTTAAACAACCGTTGGCGACCATAAAAGTGACTTCTTTTTATTGAAGGCGACACGACTCTGCGATATCCTGTTTTATATCCCTACTACTCCTTCCGTCCTGACTTATCTGACTAAGAATTATAAAAAACAAAGCTTCCAATTTAATTTATATGTTACTTACCTACCTCTGGTTATTTTAAATAAATCAATCATTAATATGGACTTTAATAACTAATTTAAACGTTTCATCGGTCAAAGCTACAGTTGACGGTTAAATGAATAATGTTTTAAATATTTTCGTTGAGAAGTTTATATGATCGAGCATTTATTTTCGTTCGATTTTTTCGAACGTCTTCACATCTTAATATTTCTATGAACTTCCGGCCGAGTTCTAGATGAAAGACTAAATGTGTATTTGCGCTTGTCCAGAAAAAATAAATCGAACTCCAGCATAAAAAATCGAAAAATCGGACGTTATAGAGATAAGTACGCAAGCACCGTCAAGTGCATCTATCGGGTTATTTTTCTAATTTGTACAAGCCGCTACCTTTTCAAAAATTAATAAATAAGTTTGCCCCATGATGCCCGCATTATGTAAACACTTGCCATCTTAATACTTTCGACGTAAATTTTTGCCAGAGATTCGAGCAATAAATTAAATTTGTTGCGCTTCCCCCGAGGTATAAAATGTTCTCAGAAAATCTTTACAAACTCTACTTCGTCTATTGCAAATAAACTTTGTCAGACCAGATTTCTCAAAAATATATATACAATTTTTTTTTAATTAAAACAAATGTGAATTTAT